CGAGGCTGAGGCAGGAGAATCGCTTGAACCCAGGAGGCAGAGGTTTCGGTGGGCTGAGATCGCACCACTCCAGCCTGGGCAACACGAGTGAAATTCAGTCTCAAAAAAAAAGCAATCTCAGAAGGAGTCAACAAATCGTATGTCTGAAAGGGTGACAGGGAGGCTATTTTGGGCACAATAAATTACAAATAAGTAACTCAATAATAATTTATAACATAATGTTATATTTTATTGAGTAATATGTTATTTTAAAAATACGTTATAATATAAAATTGGCTGACCACCCAAGTTTTCCAACACTGAAAGAGACTGACATTTCCAAGTTTTGCAAAATTAAAGTATAAAGTTGGTCCTTTAAATTTTAGTAAAATCTGACTCACGATGAATAAATTTACGCATGCACACACAAGGTCGCACACCATTCAAATCCCACTGATATACCCAAGAAGGCCCATGCAGTCAGGAAAACCCAGTCCTGATCAGTGCCAGGCATGTTGTAAACATTCAATATTTGTGGAGTAAAAGAATAAATAGATGATCACTCAGCAAAGACTCCTGTTACTTCGTACACATTTCATCAGCCACTATCCGGGTGAGCCAAATGCAGGCAATAAAATAAACTAGTTGTTACTACTGACTTGGAATAGCTTTTCAGCCTGACCTAACACTTCAAGGCGCAATTTGAAGGGCTGTATAAGAAATGGCTAGGAAGTTTAGCATCGGTTCATTGCCTCTGCCCCAGGAAAAACTAGGTCTCTCTGCAAACTGCTCAGAATATCTCATGGATACTTTTTTATAGTAACGTTTATTGTAGCCGATGATACATTTTAAAAATAAATAAGGCAAATTCTCAATGAAATGAGAAAATTCTTAAAAAGGTCCTATTGCCAGAATACACTAACATTAAAGTTGGTAAAAAGAAACATGGTTTTTTGTTTGATTTTGCTTTTGAGACAGGGTCTTATTCTGTCATCCAGGCTGGAGTGCAAAGGCACAATCATGGTTCACTGAAGCCTCGGCCTACCTGGGCTCAGGCAATCCTTACACCTCCAAGGTGGCTGAGACTACAGGTACAACACCATGCCCGGCTATTTTGTTTATTTATTTAATTTTTCTTGACAGAGTCTTGCTCTGTCGCCCAGGCTAAAGTGCAACAGAGTGATCTCAGTTCACTTCAACCTCCACCTCCTGGGTTCAAGCAGCTCTCCTGCCTCAGCCTCCCTAGTAGCTAAGGTTACCAGCACATGCCACCACACCTGGCTAACTTTTTTATTTTTAGCAGAGACGAGGTTTCACCATGTTGGCCAGGCTGGTCTCGAACTCCTGACCTCAGGTGATCTGCCTGCCTCAGTCTCCCAAAGTGCTGGGATTACAGGCATGAGTCACCATGCTTGGCCATTTGGGTATTTTTTTTTAAGAGATGGGGTTTCACCAGGTTGCCTCGCTGGTCTCAAATTCCTGGGCTCAAGTGATCCGTCCACCTCAGCCTCCCAAAGTACTAGGATTACAGGTATGAACCAGAATGCTCAGCTGATTTTCTTTTTTCTTTTTTAGTAGCTAAAAATGAACATCAAAAGTAATCTTTTCACAGTGATTCACATAAATCATTTCTCTCCACTTACACTGTAACACATTCTGTGAACAAATTATCCTTGAGCCCCAAATTTATTACATAAATTACATTTATTACATTTAATAACATAGAAAACTTTGCTTATATAAAAAAACGTGGTCTCTTTCCTTCCTTTGGTTCCACGGCCTGTGGGAAATGGAGCTTTGTGGAACAAGATGAACTCCATAAAACACAAGTGTGATACCAGTTTCAGTCCTTATCATTTCTCCAGCAGAAGGCAGGCATGCTCTCTGATTTCTCCAGCAGAAGACAGGGACTCTAGACTGATTTGTACACTGCAGTCTCCCTGGTGTCTAAAACAGTGCCTGGCACACGGCAGGTATTCAAAGATGCCGAATGTTTAAAAATCAACCTCAGCCAGGAGTAGTGAGTGCCATTTGTTAACCATGTCTGTGTCACTCTTGGCTGCAGAGTGCGGCATGAGACAGGCCCACTGGTATTGATAATGACACTTACATTTTATTACAGCAAAAATGTCATGTGTATGATGTTAGTAAACATCAGCTAAGTTTTCACGGATACACCAGCTAGACTAACACTAAAAAGTAATTGCAAATTAGATATTTAAGGATCTATAAATATCTTCTGTAACTATAATCTATTAGCTAGAATAAATGTGTTAGTTATGTTATGTCAATGTCATGTATACATTTCTCTTCTTTTCCAGATGACTGACATATCCTTTTGTCATAAAACCAAATTTCAAATGCCAAAACCTATTACTTCAATTTAGCAATAAAAGCTAGCAATCACTGAAGGGAAGTCAAGTTCCAAAAGTTTACTTGTAGCTGACAAAAAGGACAGTTCTGAAGCGGAAAATGATGTCCCGAAAGAACACAGAGTGACACCACCAGATTCTCTGATTTCTCAGGGTCTTCCCAGGACAAGGGTGCTGCCACCTCCAAGGACTCCCTAGCGGCCAGCAAGCGAGCTCACAGGTGATGGGACCTGCAGTGACACTGCCTCGTGGATAACCAGCCATCTTGTCTGAATTCTTTTACCACAATTATTCTTTACTTCAAGAAAGAAACAAGAAATAAACAAAATAGGAAAAAACATGGAGAGAAGTCTTTTTTTTTTTGCCCTGCTCCTCAAAAATGAGAATGAGAATGTATTCTAAACATCTAAACGAATGGCGATGGAAGAAGGTTTGAGTAGTGAGAGGTCTAGAAGGCAAAATAAAATTAAAATTAAAACTTAGAAAAATACTTCATAAAACCTACTGTTCAAGGCCAAATCCCATACTTCCTCCGGCAGACGCCGAAAGGGGTCTGCGGGAGGCTTTTTGTTAACACGTTAAAAGAAAGGAGACATGTCTCGGGGAACCACTCTGCATTATAAATGGCAGATTCTGTCATCTTTAATAGGGAGGCAGATGGGAAAACAATCATGTATTATAGTCCATTCTGTTTGGAATTTCATTTTCATTTATTAATTTTTTTTTTTTTTTTTGAGATAGAGTTTCCCTCTTGTTGCCCAGGCTGGAGTGCAATGGCACAATCTAGTCTCACTGCAACTTCCACCTCCCGGGTTCAAGTGTTTCTCCTGCCTCAGCCTCTCAAGTAGCTGGGACTACAGGCATGCGCCACCACACTCAGCTAATTTTGTATTTTCAGTACAGAAGGGGTTTCTCCATGTTGGTCAGGGTGGTCTTAAACTCCCGACCTCAAGTGGTCCTCCCGCCTCTGCCTCCCAAAGTGCTGGGATTTCAGGCATGAGCCACTGCGCCTGGCCTGGAATTTCATTTTTAACTTAAGGGACATATGTTAGCCATGGCGAAATGATGCGTGATTTATATCCATTTGTTATATACTTTGATTTCATTCCACAGTCAGTTCTAACAAATAATCTACGAGAATGAAAGGAAATATGGAACGATGAGCTGTTAGTCTTCCAGTTGCAGCCTATGAGGAGGAATGTGAGGTACACTGAAAGCAGACAGTACCTGCTTTAGTGTTTGTGATTCGGAGTTAGACAGTGTATGGATATGGGCTCCATCAGGTACTGGGTAAGGTTGGTCTGGTCACCAACTTCTCTGAACGTTAGAATGGAGACAACCATACTTCCTACACTCGGGGTTGTTGAGAATGATTACAAAGTTAACTCCACCTAAAGTTTGTAACAGTAAGTGCTGCTAAATGTCAGCTGCATTTGTGATGATTAGAATGATAATGACTCGATTCCAGGTGCATTGCACCTAACTGTTCTAGTAAGGGCCCTGGGAAAGGACTTAAGATCACAATGATGAAATTTCCTGGCCACACTCGGATCGAGTGGGGCGATTCGTAATGCTCCATGACCGGGCTTCTTAAATGCAGACACCCTGTAACAAAGCCCTTGCAAGAGACTGTGGCATGCCGCAATGCAGAGTCAAGATGTCTACTGTTCATGCAACCAGAAATGGTTATCACAGGCCACGAGGACTGGATGATACCTTAACAGTGAGACAGCCAAATGCTTAGGCAGATAAAATGGGGTCCCTGGAGAATCTCCGATCGTCCCAAGAGTGTTTACATCAGATGCTTTTGTCTCCATGAGGAAACCTGCCCAGGGCTTATCTGGGCAAGCCCACAGTGGACTGGAGCCTGACAAGTGCACTGGGAGAAGTGGGTGGGGCCAGGGGGTAGAAATACCTGCTCTCTTCCGCTCCTGTAATGACCTGGGAATCAGCCTGACCTGCATACTGGGGGGAAGTGGGTGGGGCCATGGGGAAGTCTTCCATGGGGGAAAAGAAGCCTGCTCTCTTCCGCTCCTGTAGTGACCTGGGAATCAATCTGTGAGGTGGCGGCTGGTGAGCAGGAACCCCTCTTGCTTTGCTAAGAGTTTTTCTTTATTTCCTTTCGCCCAATAAAATCCTCACCTACTCACCCTTCAATGTGTACGTGTGCCTATGTTTTCCTGGTCGTGTGACAAGAACCCAGGTTTTAGCTGAACTAAGGAACAAAATTCTACAACAGTCACCTGGGCGAATGGTTGGCAGATTTGTTTTTAGCTACAGAATCTGTTTTTCAAAGAAATCTTACTTGTAAGCACCAAAATAGAGGATCTGCTGGCTCCAAAGTGAAGCCCATGATCTGGGGGTTTTTTTTAGGGGCGGAGGGTACTCTTTCTGAACACACTGTCCCAAGTCAGCCGCCCATCTGCCTTGAATGACATGGGCGCTCGCTTACCTTCTAAAGAAAGCAGATTCCTCAAATCCCTTTCTGCCTGGAAGGCAGTATTTATTATGATTTGGAACAAGAAGGAGATACCTATTCTCATCCACTGGTCCAAATGTAATTACTTCTATTTCTATTTTAAAAGCTATTTTGAAACAGAAAATGAAATCTGTCACTCTTAATAGGGAAACAATTTAAAAGTAACTTACAATAACTTCCCTAAAGGATGCCTGGTCACTGATTGTCTTGTCTTCCACACATCCAGACTGATTCAAGTAGTGGTAGTTCTCCGGCGTAGATAAATAAAATTCTTCTACAGAAAGACAAAGAAAAATACTACGTCACAGTTGTCCAGGACAAGACGAAATTCAGAGTTTTCACTCTGACTTTTTTAAAAGTATATATATATATATAAAATTCTCTGCTCCTAACAGTCCCCCATAAAGATAATGAAGTTCTTTCTTAATTATCATCTAGGTAAAATAGAAAACAATTAGTGAAACTAAATGAGATGATTAAAACATGTTACTGAAAGAACAACTGATGAGGATCCTCTTTTATTGTTTTCTCTTAAAAATCTTTTTTTTTTTTCTTCTTTTTTGACATGGAGCCTAACTCCGTCACCCAGGCTGGAGGGCAGTGGCATAATCTTCTGCCTCCCAGGTTCAAGTGATTCTCCTGCCTCAGCCTCCTGAGTAGCTGGGATTACGGGTACATGCCACCACACCTGGCTAATTTTGTGTTTTTAGCAGAGACAGGGTTTTACCATGTTGGCCAGGCTGGTCTCAGACTCCTGACCTCCAGTGATCCATCTGCCTTGGCTTCTCAAAGTACTGGGATTACAGGTGTGAGCCAACCACACCCGCCCAAAAATCAACTATTTATAAATTAACTTTATTCAGGGCAGTTGAAAAGTAAAATGTTATGTCTTTTTCCATAAATGTCCTTTACATTAAAAATGTACCAAGTCGGCCGGGCGCGGTGGCTCAGGCCTGTAATCCCAGCACTTTGGGAGGCCGAGGCGGGTGGATCATGAGGTCAAGAGATCGAGACCATCCTGGTCAACATGGTGAAACCCCCGTCTCTACTAAAAATTCAAAAATTAGCTGGGCGTGGTGGCGCGTGCCTGTAGTCCCAGCTACTCAGGAGGCTGAGGCAGGAGAATTGCCTGAACCCAGGAGGTGGAGGTTGCGGTGAGCCGCACTCCAGCCTGGGTAACAAGAGTGAAACTCCGTCTCAAAAAAAAAAAAAAAAAAAAAAAAAAAGGACTACCAAGTCTCAAAAAAAAAAAATTCAAGGTTTCTCTATTGATAATTTTCTCCCTCTATTATTTCTCTCTACTGTAAATTCAGCATCTTTTTGGTGTTTGCACAATGTAAATTTCATTGCTACTGGTGGAATGTCAGCATTAAAACAGATGTCTTCTCATTGGCTGACATCTATTTAAATGGAAGATGAGCTGCTAGTCAGCCTTACCCGGCTGCTATCCCACTTACTCACCTCTTTCTTCATGTTCCAGCCCTGCCAGCAGTGCATAAAATATGTGATAATTCCTTTCCCCGGGATTTTGCCTTACTACTCGGTTCTGGGGAGATAAATCAGATTTATATTCAGAGATGTTTCCTCTGCTTAATTCACACAAACCAATAATTTCTGAAAATTGTTATTATGAAAGAAAATGTGGATTAAATCAAGTTTACTTACTTTTTCTAATAAATCTTCATGTGAAAAGCAATGGCAAGTCAAGGAACAAAACAAAGCCGTGCCATCCTCAACCATTCTTTCATTTTCTATCCTTTGCTACACTAATAATTACAGCTCCCTGTTCCTTTGACACAGAAACTTCCAGTGCCAACAGACAAGCAAACAAAACATAGACGATTTCATCTAAATCCAATTCTAGACCTGACACATGGCATCCTGTCAGGTACTGAACTAACTGACATAGTCAATTTCAAACAAATACCAAATGTTTAATGATGAATTCAATGTTTCAGATTATGGAAATTATATCAGAGATTTACAAAACAAGTATGGTTCTTTATTTCACAGAATAATTTTTTTTTTTTTTTTTTTTTTTTTTTTTTTTTTTTAAAGACAGAGTCTTGCTCTGTCACCCAGGCTGGAGTGCAGTGACGCAATCTCCACTCATTGCAACCTCTGCCCCTCCAGGTTCAAGCAATTTTGCCTCAGCCTCCTGAGTAGCTGGGATTACAGGCACATGCGACCACACCTAGCTAATTTTTGTGTTTTTAGTAGAGACGGGGTTTCACCATGTTGGCCGGGCTGGCCTTGAACTCCTGACCTCAAGTGATCTGACCCCCTCGGCCTCCCACAGTGCTGGAATTATAGGTGTGAGCCACCAAGCCCAGCCACACAGAATAATCTTAAAAAATTATTTTGGACCGGGCGCGGTGGCTCACGCCTGTAATCCCAGCACTTTGGGAGGCCGAGGAGGGTAGATCACAAGGTCAAGAGATCGAGACCATCCTGGTCAACATGGTGAAACCCCGTCTCTACTAAAAATACAAAAAATCAGTTGGGCATGGTGGCACGTGCCTGTAATCCCAGCTACTCAGGAGGCTGAGGCAGGAGAATTGCCTGAACCCAGGAGACGGAGGCTACGGTGAGCCGAGATCGCGCCATTGCACTCCAGCCTGGGTAACGAGAGCGAAACTCCGTCTCAAAAAAAAAAAAAAAAAAATTATTTTATTTTTTTAAGAGACAGGGCCTTGTTGAGTTGCTCAGGCTGGCCTCTAACTCCTGGGCTCAAGCAATCCTTCTGCCTCAGCCTACCAAGCAGCTGGAACTATAGGCATATGCACCATGTCCAGCTCATAGAAAAATTAATAGGTCAACTATACTAACATCAGAGCAATAACTAACCGCTCTAATTCACTAGAGAACCACAGAAAGAAATGTTTCACATTCTTTTTCGATCCTTCTAATTACAACAGTTTCCACTTAGAGAATCAAATACTATAGATAAAAAATAAATGAAAGAGGATACAATCTACAATTCTCCCGCCCTGAATATTTCCTTTCTGACAGATGTTCAGCTGAACAAACTTCCCAAAGCGACTAGAGTTGTTGTTGTACACGGTCTTCGCATTGCCGAAAGCTTCCATGATGGGACTGCAGAGACAGGGAGGGCAAGACAGCATTAATAAGGGCGGGCCTGAAGAGGGCAGTGGCACTTCTCACAAATGTCAAAATATACAGCTGCAAGAAATATCTGAAACCAAAAGGACTGAGGGTGACAGTGCTCATTTCTAGAAGAGCCAGATTTTCAAAACACTTGTTGAAATGGGTTTAACCGCATATCCATCGTAGTGAGCACAGCTGTGCTAGCAATAAATGCCACACAATTAAGGGGACCGCAGTGGCTCGTTCCTGCACGCATGAGTGTGGCCTTACATGGTGCAATCCAGGGACTGCACAGAAAAAGCCCCCACCCCAATTCTAGAAACTAACAAAGTTCCAGACCTGGAAATTTCACCTATTTGTTGTATGTGCCAGGGGCAGCCCATTTAATTTCTTTGGGACTTTTCCAAGTGTAAGATGGAGTCTGACTAGATTGGGGACCGGCAAACTTTTTCTGGAAAGGATCAGACAGTAAGTGTTTTAGTCTTTGCAGACCATGGAGTCTCTACTCAGCCCTGCCTCTATAGCCTAAAAGCAGTTGTAAACACTACTCATGAGTGTGGCTGGATTCCAATAAAACTTTATTTATAAAAACAGATTACAGGAGGGAGATGAGGAGGCTCTGGAGACAGATGGCAGCAATGGTTGCACAAACGTGTGAATGTACTTAATGCCAATGCCGCTGCACTGCACACTGGAAAACAGTTAATACGCATTTAGCACTAGGTATATTTTACCATGATTTTTAAAAATGGGGTGTTTACATGCTAAAAAACAAAAAAACAACAGCCTGCAGGAGACAGGCATGGGGCTGTGGTTTGCCGACCCGGGACAAATCTCTAAATAATAGAATGTATGAAGTCCCCGCTGGTTCTAAAGTCTTACAAGGCACAAACCATCTAGCAGGCAATTACATTTTTTTTTTTTTTTTTTTGAGACAAGAGTTTCACTCTTCTTGCCCAGGCTGGAGTGCAATGGCATGATCTTGGCTCACTGAAACCTCCGCCTCCTGGGTACAAGCGATTCTCCTGCCTCAGCCTCCCGAGTAGCTGGGATTACAGGCATGCGCCATCACACCCATCTAATTTTATATGTTTAATAGAGACGGGGTTTCTCCATGTTGGTCAGGCTGGTCTTGAACTCCCGACTGCTGGTGATTCGCCCACCTCAGCTTCCCAAAGTACTGGGATTACATACATGAACCACCGGGCCCAGCTGCAATTACATATTTTATACAACAACTCGGGTGACACCTAGCCCTCTTTCTAAGTTCTGAGTCTCTCTGTTATAGAATGCATCACTGATCTGCACACGAGAGGCCCGTTCTGCTCATGTTAAGCCTCCAAATGGTGGATGTTGAAGTGAACTCTGCTCGTCTCTACACTAAGCCACCTTTTCACGGTGGCTGGGGGTGGACATTTCTGCTGCTGACCAGGCCTCCAGAAAGCTAGTCAGCTGTATTCTTCTCCGTAAACTCCAATACAAGTGCCTTATCTGACCCAGGAGCTTCAAAAACACATGGAGCTAGCATCAAAGGCTCTCGGGCAGGACGGAGGCTGCAGATGGCTCTTGGGTGCCACTCAGTCCCCATCAGACCTGGCCTGATGATGAAGGGGCAGGAGACGGAAGGAGTTGTTCTTGGGGTCAAGAGGTACTCCTATGTGTATGGCAAGACCTTTCCTTAAGGAATTGTAAAACAGAAGTCAAGAAAAAGAGAAACTAGACCAACTAATTTTAACTCTTCCTTAAATAAGCCATACCATAAGGAAATCAATCCTATTGGTTGGAAACAAGAAAATCGATAAAGCAATACCTGCTTTCAAGAATCGCCCGTTCCACACAGGAGGTCTTCTCCTTTAAGGACAATTCCAAAGACTGCTGACTGATGACGGACAGGAACTTGAGGATCAATTTTGTGCTTTCGGTTTTACCTGCTCCACTTTCACCACTGAAAGACAAAATGTAACGTTTGTGCTTCTAAGCAGAATTAAACCAAAACAAAACAACACAAAACCAGCTTTGGTCAATGACACTATAATTACTTAACAATGGTTGAAAGGTGGGAGAAGGGAGATCAAAATACCTGTTTCCAAAGAGCTGAGTTAAAAGGAAGCTGGGTCCTTTCTCCTGCTGGCCACACTGTCTCTGGCCCTGCACATCCCTCTTTTGGCAAATGAGGTAAACAGAACTACCTTTTACTAGGAAAGGTCATAAGACGGATGGTGCCTTACAGGGAAGGTACGCTCTGTGAGAGAGGAACCTTCATTTCGTTCACTAGTTCATCCCAAACACATCCACCATGTAAATGTTTGGTTAATTGCATGAGCTCACTAACGCAATCTTTCTGGGAAACTTAAAAGCAGGTACACATGCATAAAAATGCAATCATTCATGAATATGACTGAGGGGACAGGCGATGAACCTGCAGGTACACAACCCCCAGTAAATCATGTTATTCCCACACTAGTCCCATGAGGGAAGCATGGCTGAGTGTCCAAGTCGGACTGTTAACACCAGTTCTGCCTGATCCAAAGTCCTGCCGAGGTCACATGCTACAATGATAGTTAAGGAAAAGTGAACAAAAAATCCAGAGGGAAAGGAGGCAAAGGATGGAAGTAAGGATGCGTTATGCCTTAAAAGACCGGCAAACATCGGTCAGGCCAAGAGAGCTCAGAAGCCACAGAAGCTGGGAAAGATTCTTAAGGGAGAATAAGACCCAGACCTGGTTAGGTCAGCTGGGCCGAGATGAAAGGCAGCAGAGGAGAGGAACGAAGGTTGAGCTGGATGCTTCAGAGGCAAATGCAGGGGCCGGAGGGGGCGATGACCTCATCAAGGTCACCTGTAAAAAAATGCAGCTCTGGGGGAAAGCTCTAGAAGGACCGAAGGGTGCCCCAGGAGACCGGCTGCTGCTATTGTCAAAGCCTGTGGTGGCCAGGTCCTAAACAGGGCTAATCAAGCTGGAGATGGAGCGGAAGATACAGGCATGAGAGAGACCTGAAATGAGAAACCCCATCCATTTTGCATATGGCACCATGCTTGGTACTGTGCAGAGAAGAGAAGCAGCAAAGAGGCTGGGAATTTTCGAGAAAAGCCGAAGGGATAACCAAGAGCACACCCATACAAACGCCATCAGGAGGTCGCACGCTGACAACCGCTGAATGGTGGGATGGGCAGATGAGCCCCTTGTGCGTTCTAAAGAGAAGTCCTGTGGAGTACCAAGAGCTGGACATTACCAGGAAAGGAGAGTTTTGCCAAGAACATGAATTAATTGCACATAACCAAAGAGAAGAAATGATGCAGAGATGATACCGACACGCCGGGCTGGGTACAGGGGTCCCAGGATGGCCGCTGGTCTAGGCCGACCAGTCCCTTTACCTGCTCTGCTAACAACAGGCCTGGGCATGGCCAGTGACACGATTCCACAAAGACGTAACGTTGTAATGTCTAGAGTGCTGTGGGCTCCTAGGGGAGGTTTGCAGGCACACATGCACACACATACACACACATATGCACGAACACACACATCCCGTCCCACGGGCAGAAATACCTCCTTGCGGCAGACAGCAAAGACCTGAGAATCTAAACCTGTCTTAAAATCCTAAAGCAAAAGCCAAGAAAATCAGAGGCAAGCCCAGCGGGAAGGGCTGAATGCACAACCGTGAAACTGACCTGCCTCATGCAGTCCGAAATAATAAAAGGCGGCATAAGTTAGGCTATCTTTAGCTGGGGTTTCCCTTACCAGCCTCCAGAATCTTCCTGGTAGGCAGCTTAGCAGACACTGAACAAGCGGTACCCACGTGACCCAGTGCCTGGCACACGGAGGCATTCAACAACGGAGCGTGCAGTGACTAACAGAAACCAAGAGAGACAGTTTCAAGGAACCATTTAAATAAACTTCCATATTTAAAACATTTATATTGATGTGGCAGCTGTGGGTGGCTGAATTATTAAAACACAAACTAGAGGGCTACGTTGTCTAGTGAAAATGATGAGGCAGAAACAGTGTTACGTGTTTCTCAACCTACCCCTTTATCCTCGGGCACACAGAAGCAGAGAACGTTTAGACTCCCCTGTAGTAAAAACAGCAGGCAGAGGCTGAGCACGGTGGCTCATGCCTGAAATCCCAGCACTTCGGGAGGCTGAAGAGTGTGGATTACCTGAGGTCGGGAGTTCAAGATCAGCCTGACCAACAGAGAAACCCTGTCTCTATTAAAAATACAAAATTAACCAGGCGTGGTGGTGCATGCCTGTAATCACAGCTGCTTGGGAGGCTGAGGCAGGAGAATCACTTGAACCCGTGAGGTGGAGGTTGCGGTGAGCCAAGATCATGCCACTGCACTCCAGCCTGGGCAAAAGAAGCGAAACTCTGTCTCAAAAAACACAAAACAAAACAAAAAAAAACAACAACAAATTGAAATTGGAAACAAAAAACAAAAAACACGGCAGGCAGTGAGTAACAAAGAGACCAAGTGTAGCCAGTTGAACAACTGGGCCAAAGGGTTATCAGCCACTTCTATGCCTGGGAGCTAAAAACCCCCTTCATGGTTCTCTGGGCTCCATCTTCCACTTGCCACCTAAATGTCCTCACAGATGGCACATCTCCCAAGCAAAGAAGGCTTAAGAGTAGACTCAAGTCCCTCCCCTACCCGCCAGGGGCTGCGATAGGAGCAAGAAACAGACCATCCCTGTGTCACATTGCTGAGATTTCAGGCTGTCTGTTGCAAAAGTCGGTCTGCCTTGGCTCGCTGAACACAGCAAAAACACAATTACGGAGAAGATACCCTTCAAACTCCACAGCAGAGGCTTGGTCAAGGAAAGAAAACCCAGGATTCTCGTACTATAAAGACGGACTTCAAGCCATCGTAAAGATGGACTTCAAGCAGAGTGCATGACACACTGAGAAAAAATATGGTTGGAGATGGATTGAGTCATGGATATCAATCTCTGTCAATTTCTTATACAGGTAGAAGATCTCTTATCTGAAATGCTTGGGGCCAGAAGTATTTCTGACTCCAAATTTTGGATTTTGAGAATATTTGCATTATACCAATTGAGTAACCCTAAATCTGAATATGAAGTCTATAATGGTCAAGAATCTGAAACTTTTTTTAGCGCTAACATGACATTCAATGGAAATGCTCTTTGGGGTTCTTTAGGGAAGATTTTCAGATGAAGGATGATCAACCAGTATAATGCAAATATTCTAAAATCTGAAACAATTTGAAAAAACCTGAAAGCTGAAATCTGCCTAGCCCAAAGCATTTTGAATAAGGGCTACTCAAGCTGTGTAAGTAAAACTTAAAAACACCCTCAGATTTGTAGCTCCACGATGGTGGCTCTCAACCCTGTCTGCTCATTAGAATCACCTAATAGGACCCTCGTCCAAACCTGTAGGTGTAGAACTCTGTCATCTGTACTTAAAAAATATTTTTTTGGCCAGGCACAGTGGCTCACATCTGTAATCCCACCACTTTGGGAGGCCAAGGCGGGCGGATCACTTGAAGTCAGGAGTTTGAGACCAGCCTGCCCAACATGGCGAAACCCCGTCTCTACTAAAAACACAAAAATTAGCCAGGTATGGTAGCAGGCACCTGTAGTCCCAGCTACTCAGGAAGCTAAGGTAGGAGAATTGCTTGAATCCAGGAGGAGGAGGTTGCAGTGAGCCTAGGTCGCACCACTGCACTCTAGCCTGGGTGACAGAGCGAGACCGTGTCTCAAAAAAAAAAAAAAAGTTTTTTTTTTTGAATGATTCTATTATGAAGCCAAGTTGAAGAACTGCTACTCTGAGAAGTGGCCTCACATAACTCAGATAGGACTCTACCAGGAGATAAGTGCTGACTACTCATATATCGAGCTGTGGAAGTGTTTTATAAACAACAGGACAAAGAATAAATATAACTAAGTAACTCACAAACCGCTAAAACCCAGAAATACGCCAGATGTCCCTGGATACTAATGTCAAGGTCACAGACTCTGCAGGTAGTACGCTGCTGTCTAACCTGCCTCTTCCTCCTTCCCCTGAACTTCCGCTTGGTCCTCACTAGCCCAAGGCAATTCCAGTTCTATGCTTTGTGCCAACAGGTCGGCCAACACAAACACAGGCTTTGGCAAAAACGTGTTCATTCATATTAACCAAAAGGAGCTCATAATGTTTTTCTTTAAAAAAAAAAACTTTCTAACTATAATAATGGAAATGGAAATGGAAAAGAAAAGTAACCCAAAGCACTGATGTGGGGCCTCACAGGCTGTATTAAAAATTGTGAGAAATTTTGTAGGCACAATGGAAAGTCACAAGACAGTTCCTAAGCAGGAGAGTGTCATGATCAGATTTAAGGTTCTAAAGAACTGTTATTTTATTTATTTGTTTATTTATGTATGTATTATTTTAGGGCCTGGCTCCCAAATATTTTATTTTTTTGAGACTTTTCTTTTTTTGAGTCTTGCTCTGTCTCCCATGCTGGAGTGCAATGGTACGATCTTGGCTCACTGTAACCTCTGCCTCCCTGGGTTCTAGCGATTCTCCTGCCCCAGCCTCCCAAGTAGCTGGGATGACAGCTGCGCCACCAGGCCCGGCTAATTTTTGTATTTTTAGTAGAGACAGGATTTCACCATGTTGGCCAGGCTGGTCTCAAACTCCTGACCTCACACTCCTCCTCTTCAGTTCAAGCAATTCTCCTGTCTCAGCCTCCTGAGTAGCTAGGATTACAGACATGCACCACCCAGATCTCATCTTGAATTGTACTCCCATGATTCCCACATGTTGTGGGAGGGGCCCGGTGGGGGATGACTGAATCATGGGGGTGATATCCCCCATGCTGTTCTCATGGTAGTAAGTGGGTCTCATGAGAGCTAATGGTTTTATCAGGGTTTCTGCCTTTGCATCTTCCTCATTCTCTTTTCCTGCTGCCATCATGTAAGATGTGACTTGCTCCTCCTTGCCCTCCACCATGATTGTGTGGCTTCCCCAGCCATGTGGAACTGTAAGACCAGTTAAACCTCTTTTTGCTGGGCGTGGTGGCTCATGCCTGAAATCCCAGCACTTTGGGAGGCCAAGGCAAGCAGATCACGAGGTCAGGAGATTGAGACTAGCCTGACCAACATGGTGAAACCCCATCTCTACTAAAAATACAAAAATTAGCCAGGTGTGGTGATGCGCACCTGTAATCCCAGCTGCTCAGGAGGCTGAGGCAGGAGGATCGCTTGAACCTGAGAGGTGGATATTGCAGTGAGCTGAGATTGCACCACTGCACTCCCACCTGGGCAACAGAGCGGGACTCCATCTCAAAACAAAACCAATAAAAAAACCCAAAACTCTCTTTCGTACATTGCCTAGTCTCGGGTATGTCTTTATCAGCAGTGTGAAAACGGACTAACACACCATAATAAACTAAACCCTGTCTGCCCTCTACCTTGTAAGGAAAAACTAGAGTGAATGGCAAACGTACTAGGGATCAACCAAAGCCAAACACTGACCTTATTTGATGGAAAAAAATTCACACACACACACACACACACACACACACACACACACTCTCAAAGCTGTAGTAGCATTAGCATTCATTTAAACATACACAAAAATGGCAAAATTAAAACGAGACCTTAAGAAAGGCAACAACCCTGAAAATGAGATGAAAGAAAGAGGCTTGGACTGGAAGCCTAGACACCTGGCAGTGCCACCAAGTAGCCGAGGAGCCTATCCAATTGACGTGCACTTATACCGCGAGAGAAAAACTGATCTATGAAGTCCTGTATAGTGTAAACAGACTTCTTTTCCGATTATAAAGGTACAAGCGTGAGAATGTTTTTAAAGTAGTAAAACACATTTTATCCACCAGGGGGCAGCTCATGCCCAAGGAAATCGAAACAGGGCTCCTGGGCCCAGCAACTCCTATTTTTATATTCCATTTTCTCTTAATTCCCACAGCTTCAACCCCGACTTTATAAAACTGTTGAAGAGAGCTATTAAAACCAAAACACATTTTAATGAGAAAGCTATTTTTAAAGTCTCTGTTTCCTGAATTAATTTAGATAAATACAGTTACTCTGTTCACATCAGCATTGCATAATTGGAGCCTTCTGTTTGGGATCCACGCGCCTTCTACCCTTATTTTTAAATACCATGAAAATGCCAACCTCCTTCCGTTTACTACACACACACACACACACACACACACACACATATATGCACAATGGTCGCATTTGGTGTTTCACTTTCTTCTTTAGTGGCTCTGTCTAGCAAGTGATATCTTAGTTACACTCTCATTTTTTCCACTGAATGTAATAAATACAGGCAATTATCAATGGCAGATATTTAAGGATCTAAGTGTGGACACCGATTTGATCTTTTACAGCAGATTGTTCTCTTTCCATCTGTTCATCTTCTTAAATTGTATTCTGTATGCTGAAATAATAATCTTGAAATTCTAACTCCAGAACTTTTATGAAGTCATTTAGAGGAGCCCACAAATAGTGGGTCTAGTCATAGATGAAGCTGTTTTATTGGGTATGTGAATCTTAGAAGCTCTGTTTCTATATTAAGCAGATGCTTCATTTTGATTAACTGGAAGCTATAATGATCCCTATTTGTTTAACTGAATATACTGACAGTCCCTGTCCAAATTGTTCCTAGGGCCCAACACTTTACTAGCACTGTTAGAATGGTAACGAGAAGACAGCACATCTGCCCATATGCTGCCCTCCCATTAGATGAACACGAACACACACACACACACACACACACACACACACACACGAGAGAGAGAGAGAGAGAGAGAGAGAGAGAGAGAGAGAGAGAGAGAGAATTCAGCTGTTCATATACATGTAATCTCATTTGTTAAAAAAAATGAAGAACTACAAAAAAGATAATGGGTAAACACTGCCAGTGAGAAGAACCCACTCCCTGCAAACTGCATTCCATGTGTGGCACCTGTAGATATCATCATAGAGCACCCACATCAAAGAGCTGTCAGGGTTTCAAGGTGCCCATGCCTGGCAAACTCTTGGCACAGAGTCCAACACAGAGAACGCTTGAGAAACTGTGAGTCATTATTTCTTATCCCACCTCCAACAGCTCTCACTAAGAACACTCTCCATCCATTTCCCCACCCTGGGGTTTCAGGGGGCCTCCTCCAGCACCTCTGTCCTCTCCCCCCGACCCCTCCCCACAGGAGCAGGGGGCTGCCCTAAGTGCTCCGTGGTGAAAGGAGAAAGGCAGGGGCTGCTTGCTTAGCCCCTCAGTTTGCTCTCCACCATCTGGGAATCAGTTTCCCACAGTGCTCATGGCTGCCAGTTACCTGGCTGTACCTATGACCAGGTGGGTCTGTCTGTGTAATTCGGGGCTGCAATGCTTGCAGGCCACTTGGCTGGGAGTCTTAAGCTGACATATGGCTCTCCGCATGTCTCCTATGGTCTTACTTCCACTGAAGCGGAAATCCGGAGAGGGGTTTTTTTTTTAGTGTCTCCCCACCAAATCCAAACCACCCTTTCCTTTCCCTTTCCCATTCCTCTTGACATCATATAATAATTATCTTGCCACAAGTTGGAACTAGAAAGCCATTTGAAACAGAAGTCTGAATCTTCTTTCACACTAGCAGCTTTAGGAGACTGTGGCTTCTCAGTGACAACTGTGCCCCATGACTGACCTCCTGGAAGGAGAAATGAATGAAGACATGCTCGGCTCCTCCATGGAAACCTCACTAGAAGAGACTGACATTCATCACGCCTGCTTCGAGTATCACCAGAACATAGTTCCAATAGAGCCAACGGGATGCACCAACATACATGTGATGAGGTCAATTTCAATGTTAATAATAAAAATTAAGAAATTTTATTTATTTATTTATTTGAGACAAAGTCTCACTCTATTGCCCAGGTCGGAGTGCAGTGGCGTGATCTCGGCTCATTGCAACCTCCGCCTCCCCGTTAAAGTGATCGTACCACCTCAGCCTCCTGAGTAGCTGGGACTACAGGTGCGTACCACCACACCTGGCTAATTTTGTATTTTTAGTAGAAATGGGATTTCTCCACGTTGGCAAGGTTGGCCTCCAATTCCCGACCTCAAATGAACCGCCCACCTTGGACTCCTAAAGTGCTGAGATTATACGCGTGAGCTACTGCGCCTGGCCACAAAATATTTATTTAAAAAATATTCCACGCCAGGCGCCATGGCTCATGCCTGTGATTGTAGCACTTTGGGAGGCCAAGGTGGGTGGATCACCTGAGGTCAGGAGTTCAAGACCAGCCTGGTTGGCTGGGCGCGGTGGCTCAAGCCTGTAATCCCAGCACTTTGGGAGGCCGAGGCGGGTGGATCACGAGGTCAAGAGATTGAGACCATCCTGGCCAACATGGTGAAACCCCGTCTCTACTAAAAATACAAAAAATTCAGCTGGGCATGGTGGTGCGTGCCTGTAATCCCAGCTACTCAGGAGGCTGAGGCAGGAGAATTGCCTGAACCCGGGAGGCGGAGGTTGCGGTGAGCCGAGATCGCGCCATTGCACTCCAGCCTGGGTAACATGAGTGAAACTCCGTCTCATTAAAAAAAAAAAAAAAAAAAAAATTCCACTACATTTTTAGACAGTTCCTAGTAATAAAGGTTTTGTTGGTGGGCTCATTGTTTCTTTGTAAAAGCGCGTACGACTCAGGTAAAATAGACATGCCAAGTGCCTTCTCCCCACTAAAAAAAATTGAAATAAATATGCCCTTAACATACACACAGTAAGCCCCTCTTCTGTAGCTAATTCAAAGGGAAACTTTAAAAGCACCACATTATTAAAAATTCCTAAATTTGGGAGATTCTATTTAGAGTTATTTTATTGCAGTAGAGAAAAAAGAAACCTTGTTCACACATATAAGCCTTTGACTAGCACTGCAGACGATATAAAACGCTTCCATTTGAAAGACAGATGCAAGATTTCCTTAAAAAGATGGAAGGACCATGCCTCATCATTGAAATAAACCAAAGAATAATTAAGGCAAATAATTTTTTTTTTTTTAAAAAAAAGGAACAGAATGGAATAATTATTCTGAGGCCAAGAGCCAAGCAACGTGCTCCATCTGCTTTGCTAAGTGAGCTCCTTCTGAAAGCTTAAGTTATCATGTTACTCAGAACAGAAAACTGTTGGAGAAACTCAGGCGGTCGTGAACGCTTTCTCTGGTTAATGCCCTAAGGAGGCTGGGGTGGGGCGCGCCGAGAGGCTCCCCGCCGGCCGGGCCGTGGGAAAGCCTGCCTGGCTGAGCCCCGTACCTGATGAGGATGCACTGGCTGTCCTGGCGCTTCCACAAGCAGCGGTAGCACTCGTTGGCGATGGCGAAGATGTGCGGGGGCAGCTCGCCCAGGTGGCGCCGGCTGTACCGCTCCATGGTGGCATGCTCGTACAGCCCGGCAATGGGCTGGTAGGGGTTCACGGAGGCCAGGATGGAGCCGATGTAGGTCTGCAAGCACAGGGCGAGACAGGGAGCGTCACTTCTAGCTCGAGCCACTGGATGAGCTCCAACAAAACCCACTGAGTGTGCACCAGGGGGAAAGGCAGCTTCTGCCTCCCGGGTGCACACTGTCCCTGCATCTTCTGGGTACCAAATCCTGACATTCTGAACAAATGAATGAAGCCATTTCTTTTCTTTCCTTTTTTTTTTTTTTTTTTTTTTTTGAGATGGAGTTTTGCTCTTGTTGCCCAGGCTGGAGTGCAATGGAGCGATCCCCGCTCACCGCAACCTCCACCTTCCAGGTTCAAGCGATTCTCTTACCTCAGCCTCCCAAGTAGCTGAGATTATAGGCATGCACCACCACACCCAGCTACTTTTCATATTATTAGTAGAGATGGGGTTTCTCCATGTTGGTCAGGCTGGTCTTGAACTCCTGACCTCAGGTGATCTGCCCGCCTTGGCCTCTCAAACTGCTAGGATTACAGGAGTGTCTGGAATGAAGCCATTTCAAAGGGGGATGGCAGTGAAAGGGAAAGAGAAGGAAGATGGTGAAGCAGCCCAGACCCAGATCCCCGTTCCCCGCTGACCTCCCCAATCCTATCCCTTCCCATGGACAAAAGACTGTCCGGGTCCAGTCTCCTTTCTCATCAAATGGCTACTGTGAAACAGCAGGGTTAAAAAGTGGAGACAGGAAGAAGAGAGGTAGCCAGGGGCTGGGGGAGGGGGGAGGGAAAGCTACAGTTTAATGGGTGCAGAGTTCCTGTTTAGGGAGATGGGAAAGTTCTAGAAGTGGGCCGGGTGCAGTGGCTCACGCCTGTAATCCCAGCACTTTGAGAGGCTGAGGCAGGCGGATCACCTGAGGTCAGGAGTTCAAGACCAGCTGGACCAATATGGAGAAACCCTGTCTCTACTAAAAATACAAAAATTAGCCAGGCGTGGTGGCATGTGCCTGTAATCCCAGCTACTCCAGAGGCTGAGACAGGAGAATCACTTGAACCTCGAAGGCAGGGGTTGCCGTGAGCTGAGCTCGCACCACTGCACTCCGGCCTGCGTAACAGAGCGAGAGTCCGTCTCAAAAAAAGGTCTGGAAATGGTTAGTACCTGTGGATGCAGAACACTGTGAATGTCCTTTTAAAAAAATTTTTTATTTTTAAAAATTTTTTTGGAGAGACAGTCTTGCTTTGTTACCCAGGCTAGTCTTGAGCTTCCAGCTTTGAGTGATCCTCCTGCCTTGGCCTCCCAAAGCGCTGGGTCTGTGAATGTACCTAATATTACTGAATTGAACACTTAAAAATAGCCAAAATAGCAGATTTTATTCTATGCAGAGTTAGCTACAGCTGTTAAAAGGTAACGTGACCATTTCAAAAATGGTAGGTATTCTTTCAGCAATCTCCACACTTTCATGAAGTGCCATATAATTTATCTGGAACTTAGAGGACTGACAATCTTACCTTTCTGGAACCATGTCCAGGCCAGAAATTAACCAAAAGCTTAATTTATTATGTGTGCAAACCTTTTTTTAATTTTTTGCTTCATATTATTTCCAAAATACATTCCAGGCTGAGTATCCTCTATCCAAAATGTCTGAGACCTGAAGTGTTTTGGATTTCTGATATTTTCTCTGATTTTGGAATATGTGCATCATACTTACCAGTTAAGCCTCATCGGAAAATCTAAAATCTGAAATGCCCCAATGAGCATTTTCTTTGAGCAGAAGGAAATCCCAGAGAATCACTTGAACCCAGGAGGCGGAGATTGCAGTGAGCAGAGATCATGCCACTACCCTCCAGCCTGGGTGACAAAGCAAGACTCCATCTCAAAAAAAGAAAAAGAAAAACAACAATAGAGGTTACAGAGTTAGCAGTGAGTTACTAAAGCTTAATGCCTTAGGCCTCTCCGTGTGGACGTAGCTATTCACTTGCACTTTCGCAAGAAATACTAACTCAGTTTGGTTACCTGGTTTCCAGGCTCAGACACAACTGAGGAAGTCAGTCAGACAGGGGTGACAGCACAGAGTCTTATGACGCCATCACCAACAACCAACCTTTATGAAGCTTGCGCAGTGTGTCTAGGGCTTTACGGGGTGTTATGGGCTGATCTGTGCCTTCTCCCCAAATTCACATGCTGAAGTCCTAACCCCCGGTACTTAAGAATGTTACTATCCTGAGAGACAGGGGCTTTAAAGAAGTGACTACATTAAAATGAGGCCATTAGGGTGGGCCCCAATCCAACCTGACTGGTGTCTTTGTTAGAAGAGGAAATGTGAACACACACAAAGACACCAGGGATGCAGACACGCAGGGGGCCTGGGGGAGGGCAACAAAAAACAAGCGAAACTAGACAGAAAGTCCAAACATTCTGAGAGCATCTGCACCATATTATAGCAATTTGTAATGTTTTATATTCATAGTATCTGCCAGGAACATCAAGCAAAGTATTATATGTTCAGTATAACTTCTCAAATGTAAAAAAGTCCACACAGGCTGAGGATCGCTAATCCAAAAACCAAAATCTGAAATGCTCTAAAATCTGAAGCTTTTTGAACACCAACATGATGCTCAAAGGCAATGTTCATTGAGGCATTTCAGATTGCAGATTTTCTGATGACGGATGCTCAACCGTTAAGTATAATGCAAATACTTCACAATCAGAGACAATGTCAGAAACCCCAAACACTTCAGGTCCCAAGCATTCTGGATAAGGGTTACTCAACCTGGAATGTGCTTTGGAAGTAATATGAAGTCAAAAATTTTAAAAAGGATAAAAACATAAAAGATATTACCATATGGCCCTGCAATTCCGCTCCTACATACCAAAAAGAACTGAAAGCAAATACTCAAACACTTGTACACACATGTTCACAGAAGCACCATTCACAAGAACCAAAAGGTAGAAAGAACGCCAAGGCTCATTATCAGACAAATGGATGAATAAGATGTGGCATATCCACGCCATGGAATATTAGTCACCTAGAAAAAGGAATAAAGTGCTGATTCATGCTACAGTGGGAACAATCCTTGAAGACATACCAAGCCAGACACAAAAGTTCCCACATCCAGAACAGGTTAATCCATAGAAACAGAAAGATCAGTGGTTGCTAAGAGTAGGCAGTAGCAGGAGAGGGCAGTGACTGCTTCACTGGTACAGGGTTTCTATTTGGGGTGATAAAAGTATTGTAGAACTAAGATACAGGTTGTATGGTTTGAATGTTCGTCCGCTACTAAACTCATGTTGAAATTTAATTGCCATTCTAACAGTATTAGGAAGTGGGACCCTTAAGAGGTGATGAGGTCATGGGGTTCTGCCCTCATAAACGGATTAATGCCACTATTGTGGGAGTGAGTGAGTTATCGCAGAGTGGGTTCTGGATAAAAGGGTAAGTGCAACATGCATTCCCTCTATCTCACACTCAAGCTTCCTCGCCACGTGATGCCTTAGGCCATGACGCAGCAAGAGGGTCCTCACCAGATGCCAGCACCATGCTCTTGGACTTGCCAGTCTCCAGAACCAAAAGCCAAGTAAACCTCTAGTGCTTATAAATTACCCAGTGTGTGGCATCCTGTTACAGCAGCAGAAAGCAGACTGAAACAGACGTGTTGGTTGCACACCACTGTGAATGTACTAAATGCCACCAAATTGTACGCTTTAAAATGGTTACTTTTATGTTAAATGAATTTTGCTTTAATTACCAAAAAAAAAAAAAAAAAAAAAAAAAAACTTTGGTGCTTTTATGAGTAAATGTTCAGGTCCCTGGAAAAATCAACTCTCTAGAAAGCCCATTTTGTCCTGTTGGAACACTATGGGGAAGATTTGGCTAGAAAAAAAAGATGGAAGCTAGAAAAGGAAGCGTCCTACTCCTGAGGATGCCTCCATCCTCTATCAGTGCCTGGACCACAGACACTCCAGTGCCTCCTTCTACATCAACCTTTGCAGAGGGGAAGGGGCAGGCAGACAATACTTGAGGCTGGGAGCACCTGGCTCCTTCCACTACCTTGTTTAAAATGCTATGTTTGTTTTCTACCTTTTTGATAGTCATTTACATTATTGTTGTTTTTTTCTGCTATCAACAATGTTCATTTTTACTGAGAAATACATTCTTATTGTTTTTCCCTACTTTGACTGTAACTCTCTATGCAGCCAAGTAGGTCAGAGGAAACTGACAAGCAATAGTCAACACTGCCAGCAATCAACACGGGGGCTCAACTGAGCACACGCCAGTCCTCTTCCTCAGTTACAAGCAGAAGGTGAAAGCTAGGGTCATGGACATTCAGCTTATTATTAAATTTAATTAATTAATCTATTATTAGGATATTCACCCATCATTAACACACCTTTAAAAAATGATATGCCCTTATCATTGTGCACGCCCCATTCATAACACATTTGTACGGTTGCTGTAAAATTCTGAGATGAGCCCTTCTTTCTTAAGGCACTGATTTACTCTCAAAGCCATCATTAAAACTTCTTTCGCAGCTTTCTTTGAAAGAATAATCGTTTCTTTTAAACCATGTTCCTCCTCCTGGTTGGGAACCCTCACTACCCACAGAACATCCTTTAAAATACTGCTCATTCTGACAGTGTGGATGACATGGGCTTTGAATGAGGGTAGGAGGGACAAAGTGGCATTAAGCCCGGTAGCAAAGGTGAAAACGCAACGTCCAAAATGGCCTCACGCTTGACTTTTTCAGTAATTCACACGGCACCTCATCCAACGAAATAGTTTTTAAATGTTTTAGAATGACAATGTGGTAGCTGTGGCAACCATATTGCAACATAAGAGACAACATGAGCAGCCCAGAAATCAAGGTCCACGGGTCCTCTCTACCCCATCAGCAGTGCTTTAGAAGAGAAAGGACTTTTTTTTTGAGACGGAGTTTCACTCTTGTTACCCAGGCTGGAGTGCAATGGCGCGATCTCGGCTCACCGCAACCTCTGCCTCCTGGGTTCAGGCAATTCTCCTGCCTCAGCCTCCTGAGTAGCTGGGATTACAGGCACGCGCCACCATGCCC